TATTGTAAGTAAGTAAGGTAATGCCAAGTATTGTAAATAGGTTTGTTTTTTTGTTGATGTATTGTAAGTAGTGGTGTAATGATTAATCGAATTCTCGATTAATCGCGATTATGACCATTTGGTTTGATTCATGATTCTTTGATTCCATGTTTCGATTTTGGTTTGATTTTTTGCATACCTTTCTCAGAGTGCCCTCAGTGAGTTATTACATTGTGAAATCAGAATCCAGAACTCTTTAAAATGTGCATTTTTGATTGATGAGTAAAGACGTTTGCAGTTCATGTGCCAGTTTGTGTTACATGGTAAGAATGTTGCCCTTCTAACACCTTGAGAATTTCCAAATAAGGCAAACCATGTGGGTCTAGGGTTGTAGGTTGTTTACATCATGTATTATGTTGTAAGATTTAAAAAACATTTTAATATTTTGCATAATCGAATCGAAATAATCGAAATCAAAAGGCAATAATCGAAATTGAATCAAATTGCAAGGAATATGAATAGTTACACCCCTAATTGTAAGTGACATTTGTAAGACAGTTAAAGCATTAGAAATCATAATAATAATAATAGTAATAACAATAATAACAATAATAGCAATAATGTAGTGTATTGTAAGTAGGTTAAGTATTGTGTCGTGTTGTAAGTAGAGCAAGGCAATGTAAGTAATTATGTGTTTAGCAATAAAAAAAGGGGGGGGAGCTTGTCATTAGAAGGGCTCTGATTTGGTTTTTGATAAGTTACATTTCAATTGCCAACTGTCACTAGAGTGTGTCACAGTACACATTTATGTTAATGGTTATTGATAGCTCACCACAGAGCCTCAACATCCTGTTCTTATCTTAGCATACTAACTTGACTTGGCAATTTGATCCAACATTACCTCTCTATGAAATATTTTATGCAAATAAAACTAATTAATGCAAATAACAATAAAACATTCTTCAACACTCACCTGATGCTTTTTGGTGACAAATTATTGCATCTTCAAATTTCCTGTGGTTGACCAAAGCCTCAGCC